AATAAGACTGTGACATTCAAAGTATGTCCAGTATTTTCACCAGAAGCATCTTTGCTATAGACATCTTTGCCACAGGCATTTTTGCCCCATAACTAATGGCTCTAAGGCAATTTTTCTGTGGGGAAAAAAGATGAAATTACAACAAATAAAAGGACATAATGAAACATGAAAAAATGAATAACAAAATTAAAGTGACTTTATTTAAAATGTGTGTAGTTTCATGGCAAAACTGTTCAAATAATTAATTTTATTTTGTGCATTGTAGCTAAGCACTTTGCTTATTCTATGAGAAATGTGGGTTCAGCTAAATCTGCGTCCTAAAAGAGGGTCTTTGACCTCTCTTTCTTCCCACAACGTGCGTTTCAAAATAAGAAACCAACTCTTGGGACAAATCATCATCATTTGGAAGAAATGCTAACTATTTTAGAACCACAACTACCACCATACCTACTTATCACTGTACAGACCATTGGCAGAGCTAAGACTTATGGGTGTAGGTGCAAGGATTTCCTCAGCGGAGAAATGAAACCAAACTGACACCTGGCTTAAATACATTAAATCAGCCAAACTTGGTTGATTGATTCCTCAATGGAAAAATGAAACCAAATAAACATACAAAAAACACCCCAAACTGTCAACCAGTTATTTTGTCATTTTTATGGAAACAAATACCTATGGCCAATTAATTGTGCCATGGAAATGTTTGTGGCAAAGATGCTACAGAGTAAGTAGCTAGAACTGATTCAGAGACAAGTTGTGCTTATTATATCATAATTACTTATAATAAAGGGCAAAATGAATACATTACTTATGATGTACTGCTAAGGAATTAAATCTATGTACAGAAGGTCCTCAAATAATGTCATTTAATTCAACATCATTTTGTTATAACATTGATGAGATAGTATTAGCTCTTGTTTATACCAGTTACCTGTGGCAAAATTGGTTTTGTTATATGTCCTTTTGCTTTCCGTAAGACATTAATGAGGATTTACTATATACAACAAATATTAAATATACCTGTATATATCTTACATGTGGAAACATGGGGCTCTCGTCCACCTCTTTATTTTGCATATTGGATACCACACTTCTCTGAGGCCTTAATATGTTTGTGTTTGGTACCTCTTTGAGAACTGTATGTTTCTTAAAATAGGGATCATGTCTTAAAATCTGTATTCTCTCAGTCCCCGTCATACCACGTAACACATCATTTATGCTCAATAATTGTTCATTGAGTGGAAATATTTTTAGTCTTAAGAAGCTTGATATTCCTGTTTTAGCACTTGTTACAACAATATGTGATGTGGGGATGTATAAAAATCTATTCTTCTCAGATTTTAATATGCTGTTAGCTTTAATAAAATTTCAAATGTGACAAAGAACAAAAATTTAGAGAAATCGTTACATAAGAATCCAATTAAAGAGTACTAAAATATGAAATAATTCACGTGTTATTCATGAAAAACATTTTTTAAGAGTTAGAAATACAACTTAATCAAATTATATTATCAATTATAGTGGTTACTATAGTGCGAAAGGAAAAAAGGGGCAGTGAAATTGACTAAAGGCTGTCAGAGAGGAAAAATTGTGTGATGCATCCACAAAGTTTATGAAATTAAAACTTAAAATACTGAGTTTGAATTTGAGTGGGTCATTCTCTTGTCTTTACTTCCCGATGATGCCAGGAAGGCTACATGCCCAGAACAGTACAGGATAATGTGTGGCATTAATTTGATTTCCTGGCCACCATAGAAACCTACCAGCTGTCACCACAGAACCATTAGGTTCAGAAAAATCATGTATTTGAAGAAAAACAGATTTTTGAAAACTGGGAAATTCCATCTACTTTATTGACCTTCCATGTCCACAGAACTACCAGCTCTCTCATTGTTCCAGCACTAAGGCGGAAAAGAGGCTGTAGGTGATGGTCATGACCAGAGCTTGGGTAACAAACCCGAACTGCAGCTGCCCAGGCCCCACACTGTAGGGGCGTTAAACATTACTCAGGTACTTAAATACCAGGGGAAACATTACTGGTCAAGAATAGCAAAATAAAAAAAAATTGGTAGAACTCGTTTTAGGAAGAGAATTTTGTGAATTGAAAGGCATAAATTGATAAATTGATGAGTAGAGTAAGACCACCAAACAAATTCAAACACTAAATTGTAAAATCCCCAGATGATGGAGGTTCTTTTGTTTTGTTGAGAATACATAAAATTATGGTGAGGAGGAATTACTGTTCATACCTCTTGGCTCTTTACCACTTAATAAACAACCACTGCTTTAAATAAATGTGGAAACATATTTAAAGAATATTGAATTGGTGTACTCGTTTGAAGAGGCACAAATTTTTATTAATGTCTTAAATGGAGGTATTGTTAGTTCTTCTTTCTTATTTTTTCCTCCAAAGTCTTTGCCAAGGAAGGTTGTAGGAATTCTTGTCTTAGGGGTCCTTAGGCAGAACATAGATCATGCTCTTCTAGTAATGAAAGAATAAACATTAGGACCTCTTAAATGTCTTTCCTGAACTCCCACACTGGCTCTTATGATAGCATGTTTTAAATGTTCCTCAACTAAAGGTTGAATTATTGCTTTACCTATGCTGAAAACCTTTCACATCTTTATAATTTTACTAAATTCTGTTGTCATGGATGCTTTTTTAAAAAACAACAACAACAACAAAAACAACAAAACAAGGTTACATCTGAACCCGGATGGCATTGTCCCTTTATATGAAAACATCCTGGATACTATTCAATTAGGTAAATGATGTTACTTTCTTGTGTTGAAAACTAGAAGACCCATGAAGTAAATACTGGACAAGCCTGTAATAGTTCATTGAACTGACCAGAAAACATCTGAACACTAATTAGGATATTTATATCTAATACTTCTAGGATCTAAAAGTCAATATGTATGATCATAGAAATGTAGCCTAGCTAGTGTGGCGCAGTGGTGGAGCATCGACCCATGCACTAAGACATCCCAGTTCAATTCCAAGTCAGGGCACATGCCCGGGTTGTGGGCTGAATCCCCAGCGTGGGGCATGAAGGAGGCAGCCAATCAATGTTTCTCTCTCATCAATTATTCTCTCTCTCCCTCCCCTTTCCCTCTCTCTAAACATCAATAAAAATATATTTAAAATGTTTTAAAAACAAAGGAAATATATAAGCAAAGATTTTCGTAGACCTCAACTATGCAGTATGTGCCACTAAAATGTATTTGTCTTTTAAGCACTACCTAACAGAATTTCCTTCACACTGAGCCTTTAGATTGTAATATCAGAAGCTTGTTTTCTTCTCTTTGAAGTCATTTCCTCCTTACCAGTTTGCTGCACTTCAACAATGTGAGGGCTTCACTCTAGAGAAACACTGAAGCAAAGAAAAACTTCAAGGAGCCATGCTGAGAGAATTTAAACACACCACTTTCATTCAGCCTTCTCTTTCTGCCCTCCCTCTATTAATTCAACAAAGTTATAAAAACAAACAAAAAGAATGAATATGAAAACACACATACAGGGAATTTGAGTTTTGTTTTATATTTTTACACGTGAAGAACAAAAACCTCCGTAGAGCTGCTAAAGCTTTCTAACCTCATCAAGTCCTCTTTATGAGTCATTAAGTTGCTGAAGCCCAGAAAATCAAATTTGGTTTAGGGCTGTTTGGTAATGTGGTAAAACAATAAAATGTGATTCACCAATTAGCTCATGTAATTAGAAAATCAAAAACATGCTCTAAGTGGCTGGTGGACACACATAAATAAAGTCTATTGTGAGTCTTTGTATTTGCTGATTATGGTTATAATTACACCTTCAGTTGATGTTACTACATCCCAATTCCCTAAGAAAGAGAAGTCACAAATAGCTGTATTTTTAAGTCAGATATGTGAATGAATCACTTAGTTCAGCCATTCATTCATTCACTCTTTTTTTTCCATCAATTTTTTTCTTCCCAGACTCTCTGTTAGACTATCTAATCCTTGCCTCCATAGAATTTCAATCTGCAAACACTATGTTTAAGTTCTTCTAAAGAAGGCAAAGTCAATCGAAGTTTTAACTCTACAACAATGATGGTTTTATAGTTAAAAATTAGTCTTGCTGATCCCTAAATGCTACTGATGTTGCCGAGACACACGTAAGAAAAAAGAAACTCGCAATTCGAGAATGTATTAGCTCAGAGGTTTTGCCTGGCTCAGAAGGACTCTGATAGATAAGAATGGGAATTGAATATTTGTTGGATTATTTTAAAGCTGCTCTTTATATATCCTGTATGCATGTTTGTTGAAATCCAAGGCATATGTTATAAATTGCCTGGCTATATTTAAAATGTATTTCTTTCTGTAAGTTCAGATCAATTCAGGGGCTGGTTGGATGGTTAAAGCATTGTCTCATTAAGAACTTCAACCATGTCCTGCTTTGCCATTTTCTTATTGCAACTAAAGTACATGGGCATGGTCACATGATCCAGGGCTTTCTAATAAATATAACAAGAGGATAATAGGGATGGATTACTTGAGCTTAAGCCAATAAAGAGAAGCCATTTCTTATGTGACATGGTCATTCTTAATGATATTTTTTAAATCAAAAGATGACATGCTTTTGTGCTGCCCTTAAAACCCATTTTTAAGGTCATATATTAGTGTTCATTTGTAGAAATTTTAAAATATATTAGGAAAAATTTTCCCTTATAACTGTAACATTCTGCTACATGGTTTATTCTTTATAAATTTACAGTGCATGTTTTGTATTGTTCTCTCTCCCCCAAATATTGTGATATTCTAAGGGATTCAATAAGCTTTGATTTTTTTAATAGAGTCTCAGTCATATATTTTAGAATAGCTTGGATTATATTCTGTTTAGATAAAAACATACAATCACACATCATGAAAGTGTGGTTTATTCATAGCCAGAATAAAACTTAACCCCCAAATGTTATTTCAAATGAAGCTGTCTCTACCTCAGTATGTAGTTAATCGTTCTCTTTTTTTCCTATTTACAGGTCAATGGGACAGAAATTGAATATGAATTTGAAGAAATTACTTTGGAAAGGGTAAGTAAAATCTAATAATCCAAAGCCCCAATCTTGCTTTTCACATTCTGCTTCCTAAAGGGTTGTCTTGCAAAATTACACAGTTGTATATTAGACCCTGGAAGTTTCCAACCAGGCTCACAATGAGGATATTAATGAAATTCTTGCAGAGGAAGGCCTGGGGACAAACAGACCAAATAACCAGAACATTCAGCATATAGATTGCATTGCCAGGATTTGGAGAAACAAATGGGAAAGACAGAAATGTTCAGTGAGCTAGTGCAGTATTTTTTCCTATTGTTTTCATTATTAATGTTTTGCCATACATTTTAGATACATTAAAAATATTTTTATTTATGTGATATTAACACTGTCTTTATAACTACCATCACCATACATTTTTAACTTTAAAAAAAAACAAAAACAAAACACAAGTGATGGATTTTAAAAGCATCCCTATAGAGAAAACCACAGCAACTCTGCAGATCTCTGAAAATATGCTGTTAGGGACTTGGCAAGTCTTTGACAAATTAGGGAAATTCTGTGCAACACAATCCTAGTATGTAAAGATATTTTACAAAACAGTAAGAGAAAGGGCAAAGACCACCTACAAAAAAATATGACCAAAAAGCATTAATAGGATATTCATAAAAAAAGAAAGGGCTGAGCCAGAACAGTGTGGCTCAGTGATTGAGGATCACCCATGCACCAAGAGGTCACCAGTTCCATTCCTGGTCAGGGCACATGCCCAGGTAGGGTACATGCAGGAGACAGCCAATCGATGTTCTCTCCCATCGATGTTTCTATCTCTCTCTCTCTCTCCCTTCCTCTCTCTCTAACATCAATAAAGAAAAAAATTTTAAAAAGAAAGGGCTGATAACAAACAGAAACCTGTTTAACCTTATTAATAATCAAAGAAAACAATGATGCTAAACACTTTTTATCTACCTGATTGGCAAAAAAATGTAGAAGGAAGGTCAATTTTTACTGCAATTTAGTGAGCCTGGAAATTGGTGCAATTGTAAATGAACAATTTGGAACAATGTATCCAAAGTATTAAAATGGGCACACTTTTTAAACCTAAAATTGTCCTTATTGAATTATACTAATATACAAAGAGTGTTTATATTTCTATTATTTATAATAGTGAAGAATTAAAAAGGTAAGTATTGAATAATACATTATAGGACTATATAAATAGAAAGTCATATTAAATTATACCGTAATATTTTTCAGTATTTAATTTTAAGGATAGAGATGTAAGTAGACTATATTGTTAAATATATTATTAAATTAAACATTAAGTTTTAAAATGGTGTTTAAAATATAATCCAATAAACACAAAGGTATACATGTAAAATATACATTTATAAATATATACACAAAGCCTAGAAGTGTTATCAGTAGAAGTGGGGGATCCACTGGTGGGAGTGGGGGATCCCTTTCCCCACTTAGTGCTGGGGGTTGGGTCCTTATAATATCTTAAGAAAGAGAATGTTGAGACTCACATGCAAGAATGAGTGACTTTTATTTGCATAGACGTACATCCTGGGTTTGCAAAGTTCCATATTCCTTAATCCAGTCCTGGAAGAGGTACAGCTGGGGATTCAGCAGAGCTGAAAGCAAAGCCATATCAAAGTTTCTGTTCCATGGTGGAGCTGGGTCTGGCACAGCATCATACTAGTTATATTAATTTTGTGTGTGGGGGGTCCACATGGCTGTGGGTCACGTGGGCAAATGCAAGCGTGTGAGACCTCCACAGGTCAAGAGTGTGAACCAATGGGCAAGAGAGGAAGAGCAAGAGAGAGACCACCTTTGTTTATGAGCTTATGTATCTCAAATCTTCCTGTGCTTGCTGTGGCCATGCCTACTCTGGCCAATGACCTGTTTCCCGGTGTGACTGACAGGCAAGTGCCTTCCCTATTTCACCCAGACTTTACTGGACATGTGTCTAAATTGTAGCTTTCTAGCAAAGCTGCACAAATGGCATGCTATAAAATTTTGCCTTCTCTTTGCTCCTTCCCAGCTACTAATAACTAGGTTCATTATAATAGTATCAAAAGGGTACACACCAAATGTTAAGAGTGGTTAACTCTTGTTGAAGATTTTTTGGATGATTTTTCTATTACATCATTTTAATTATATTTATTTCCTAAGTGTTCCTTAAAAATATATTACATTTATAATAAATAAAAATGAAAGTATATTTCCTAAGCTATCATTCAAGTATAAATTTACATTCCAGGCCTACACTTAAATTTATTATTATTTTTTTTTATTTTTTACTTTCCTGAGTCAGGGAATTTATCATTCTGTCTAATTTTTTAGTGCAAGTGGTTTTAAAAGGAAATTTACATTGAAATTTAAGTGTTTCACAGATGAATATTTTAAAACATACATTATGAACTCTGATAAAATTTTAATGGCATGCTAAATGGAGAAAAACGAAGCTTATGGAAAATTTGCCCAAAAAAGAATGGAGAACACATTTCTCCTTCTAAATCACTGATCTTCTCTCCAGACTGGCTATATAATTTGTGGAGCACAGTGAAAAATGAAAATGTAGTACCCTGGTTTAAAAAAACAATAAGAAAAGATGGGAACAGCAGAGATTAAACCGAGTGTGGGTGGCTCTGTCTGAGGAGCATGCCTGCACTTTTCCCCACCCCCTTCTTCCCCAAGAGACTCTCCCACCCCACCCTCAGCACTTCCAAACCTTTCTGCCCTCTTTCATCTCTCAAGGCATGTACACCTGTCTCTCTTTTTCTCCCACCACTACCCTCTAAGCTCCAAGAGCCCTCCTTTTTCTGTGACTTGATTCTGAGTCCATTTCTTCTATGGCTCACTTCTATCTCTGTGACTTTCTTTCTCTTATAGTTTGAAAAACAAAAAACAAAAAAAAACAAGTGTGGGGCCTTCTACACACAGGGCCATGTTTGCACAGATCTCAAACTCATGAGACCAACCCTTCTCTCCCCACACTCCACTCGTATAAACATCTTGAATGTACCACTATTTAGTTACCCTGGTTTTATAGGTCAAAAAACAATTAGAAGCTGATGTTGTGAGGTACAGCATTCAGGAGGAGTCTGACTATTGTGTATTCCAGCCTGGGTTCTGACACTTCCTTCCTTCATGGTCTGGCCTGTCCTCTCATCTCCCTTGCTCCCTGCCCTAGGGATTTCGGTTATACTCTATATCTTGCCATTGCCATTCATTGCACCCCTCTCCCAAAATGTCTATGTTAAGCATCATCTTCTCTGAACATCTCCTCTGTGTGTGTAGCATTTATTCTAATACTCCAGCTCCAAAGTTCTGCATCCCCACTGGGACCTCGAATCATTGGCTCCACCATTTCCCTTCAGGTTTCACCCTTCGTCACGCCCTCCCTTTCCTCCTCACTTAGCATATATTCCAATTCTTCTCATACACTCAACATTTTTCATACTCTCTCTCTCTTTGTGTTCGTCCAACCAAACCTCATCTCTGGTTAATCTACCATGATGAAACCAACACCTTCCTCCTTTCTCCATGCCAGCACCTGGGCAACTGAACCGGGCTGCAGAAATGCTCACTCGTCTCACTTTAAAATTATAATATTGATTTCAAATGGACCCTCAAAACATCTTAGCAATTTTTATACATTTCTTTAGAAAAATTGCTTTCTCGTAACCTAGGAAAACAATTTCGCATCTTATTTGCGCTCCTCGGATCTCTAACCCCTGCCCCTCATCTTCAGGCTCACCTGTTGACCTCTCTCCATATGTCCTAGGGAAAATGCAAACATTCAGATGAAAACCACCTCACTTTCCTACCACCAGGTCTGCTAGGTGTACGCTCCCTGTTGCAAGGTAGGACTTTTCCCTGTTTATTTCCAGAGTCAGCTCTTCACTGGTGACATGGACATTGTAACTTCTCATCCATTTAAAGACTTTGCCTCTGCAGTTTTCTCTTCTCTCTCCTAGAATATCAGTTTCTCTCTCACTTTTTCCTGGATAAGTTTAATACAGACATGATATAACATCTCTCATCTTCAAAAATAATACAGTCCCTTGACCTGACGTTTTCCTCCTATCTTATTATTCTATTTCGCTTTACCAAATAACTAAGAAAATTGTCTGTTTTTATTAACTCTACTTCATTACCTCATTTTCTTATTTTAACCTACTTCATGTTTGCATCCCCACAATAGTCCTAAAGTCATCCCTATCAAAGTCACGCCAGGTTCCATATTGCTCAATACAAGTATCAGTTCTCAGCTCGGACTGATTTCTCAGCAGCATTTGATGCCGCAGTCTCTGCCTCTTTCCTCAGAGGTGTTCGTTTCTGGGCTTGCAGGACAAAACACTCTCCTGTTTACTCACTACCTCATCAGTGCCCTTTTTCAGTCTACTTGCTGGCTCCAACTCTAAATGCTGAGCACTCTAGAAATCCAGTGCACAGACCTCATTCATCTCTCCTCGTTCCCCAGATGATCTCATGCAGACCCATGGCTTTCCATACCAGCTACCAGCTGGTCATTTCCAAAGCTGGTGACCTCCCCTACACTCCAAATGTGGACAGCTAACTGTCCAATTGGCATCTTTGGTGTGTTCCCACTAGAATTTATGATTTCCCTGCACTCTCTACCCTCAGGGCCAAAGCTGCTTCTAGCCTAATATTCTTCATCTTAACTAATTTGTCCTGTCATTTTTTAAAAAATTATTATTCAGGCAAAAAAAAATCATCTAGGCATCTTGCTTAATTGTACGTTTTCCCTCAGCATCCAGAGCAAGCCCTACTGGTATAACCATAAAAATATATTTCAAAATCAATCACAACTTACCACCTGCTCTGCTGAATCCTGATCCAAACCAATATCATCTCATGCCTGGACCACTTTTCTCCTCAAAGTAGCCAGAGTAATCTTTTAAAACATATAAACCAGATCATACCACTTTTATTCTTAAAACCCTCCAAGAGGTGATTAATACACTCATCATCATCACATACAAGGCTTTATACAATATGACCCATACTTC